GGCATTCTGTTGATTATCCTTTCAGCCATCTCGTGATTCATAGTCTTGTCTGTCTTGCCCTCCATGAATGTAGCGAAGACAAAATCCGCATCTGAGTTATCCATCACCTGATTTCCCAGCCTGCGCACAGTTTCGTTTTGAATGTTGTCGACGGATGCCATGTATATCTAAAGAATATCTTTTGCTCCATTTACGACCCCAACAGAGCAGCAGTTAGGGACATTTCGCGCTGCCGGCGGATCGCGCAAGACCCCCTGTTCCGCGGGTTACCGACCTCCAAAACCCCACCCCCCCTGGTGTTTTTCGACTTGTGATTTTTAGTAATGCCGGCAATTCGCGAGTCCACCTAACTGCTGCTCAAACGCTGGAAGAGTTTATTTATAAATATATGTATAACTTGGTTTGTTATTTAAGATTAACTGCATTATATTATTTTTCGAGAGATGATCATTGCATGACTAACGAATTCAAAAAATGTCCTAATCACACTAACGCTGGGCTTAGGATGTCACTGAAATCCACGGATGTTAGCGTAAATTTTGATGGCTTTTTACAATAAAATCCTGGCCAAAGAAAAATCTTCTTCTTTTTACCTGTAGTTTTACCAATTTTACGATTTTTGGCGGGAAAATGACGTCACCAATTTGGTGGGAAATTGAAAAAGAGGGATATGTGGAACATTTGAATAGGGCGCATTTGAAAGACCTAAAGAGGCTTTGTGTCACGTGCCGGCGGCGCCCATAATACAGCTTGGACTGCCTGTGGTTAGATGGCATAGCAATAAAATCCCTGTGCTCTCGAGAATTGAATTCTTTCTCATGTAAAACGATTGTATTGTTCCTGCCATCTAACATGGCTGCTGTCACGTCATGAATTCTAAAGATTTTTTTAATTGCATTTCTAGCCATTACCAGGAATTTCCAAACCGTTAAAAAAATAATATCTTCGGACTACATGTGACTTTGTCAAATACTTACTATTATGATATATATTATTGTATTATATTGCATGTAAAGGTGCCATAATAAAAAATTGACATTTTCATTGAAAATTCATCAGAAATAATTTTCGAATTCAGAATCGTTTTTCAAAATTTAGAAAATAATTTCAAAATTCTGAAAAATAAATTTAATATTTACAAAAATAATTTCAAGATTCAAAAATCCTRAAATGTAAACATTACGTGCAGTTATAATAAAAATTCAAAAAAACGTCATTTCTGCGGACTAACCCTGTACAAGGGATAAAAATGAAATCAAGAAATAATAAAGTAATATGATATTAAAACCTGCACACACTCTTAGATGACAAGTCAACCAAATCAATCCACATGCTTGCCCAGATTTTGAAACTGTTGGGCTTCAAAATATGGTATCCTCCATTGCCTTTGCTTCCGTTACCTCTCTTCCTAGCTCTCTATATTAGATGCATAATCAGTAGTTTTGAATTTATCAATCAATCAACGAACAATTGAAAAGCTTAAAAATTTCACAGGTTGTAGGCAATTTCTAAAGAATATATTACACGCTGACGAGGCTGAGGTTGAGTAACGGGATCCGTGAAATGGCCTATTTTGTATCTCCGCGCGCCCATGTAATATACTCTATATAACATTATATTAGCATATCAGGCCCCATCGACACATATTCGGATATTTTTGAGAACGGATTTGAGAACGATTTCAAACGGATTTCAAACGAAAAATTCTTTCCCACACGTAACGTTTTTGAATCGTTTTTGCGCGTCCGCACTGATAAGTTTTCAAAAAGTTGCGTTTTCAAGGCTACTATCCATAAAGAAAATTTTCTGTAATATTCGGATAAGTGTGGACGGGTTAAAATATTAAAGTTAAGTTAAAGAAAACTAAAGAACATGACACACCGTTCTATAGACGTTTTGCGCCATCACGTGCCCACGCCCATAATAAAGGTTGAGCTGCCTGTGGTCAGATGGCAGAGCAATAAAATCCCTTTGTTCTTGGAATTTGAATTATTTCTTATGTTAAAACGATTGTATTTTCCCTACCATCTAACATGGAAAACAAAGCAAAACCCCACTCACATTTGCAGTGCAACTGGACATTTTGCACGCGCGCGCGCAACGTAAGAATGTCTTGTGTGTCAAACATCGTGTTTGTGTAGCGTGGTTAATTTTTATACATGGTTCTATGGAATTATCACGACATATTCTGGTGGTTAACGGCCACCATTTGATGCGTTTCCAGCACGTGGATTATAAAGTGCTTGATATTCGGGGGAACGGTTATTTCTTTGCAAGAGATCTTGATAAACATGTCCGTTCATTGGCTGTAAATAAGACTGATTCCCTCCATTGTGTTGCATTCCACGCCTTGGGTCGCCTAAGTCCTGCTTTCTGCGCGGATTGCTTGCCATATGGGGTGCATTCGCCCTTCGTCCTTCATAGATGTTTTTGTTATAATAATTAGGCGGCGGGCTTGCATTTTGTATCAGTTTTGGTTCTCTGCGTGGATTGCTTGCCATATGGGGTGCATTCGCGGGCCGTCCATAATTCATTTTACTGTTATTACTTTGTTGGGGCAAGGGCATTGGGTTCGCGTTCGGTATCAACTTCGGCTCTCTGCGTGGACTGCTTGCTATTTGGGGTCCATTCGCCCTTTGTCCTTCGTTAATGCGTTTGTTGTTATGATTGAATGGCGGCCTTGCATTTTGTATCAGTTTCGGCGGTGCTCTAGGTGGGTTGCTTGCCTTGTTGGGCGCATTCGCGGTTCGCCCTTCTTTGATGTGTTTGTTTTTATTTCGTTGGGGCAAGGGTGGCTGGTTTGCGTTCGGTATCATCTTCGGCTCTCTGCGAGGATTGTTTGTCTTGTGGGGTCCATTCGCCCTTAGCCCTTTTGCGTTCTGTATCGTCTCGTAGGTAGGTGGTATCTGTTCGTATTGGCTATCTTGGTAAGATGATCCTGGTCTTTGGTTGGATGCTCTATTGACAGCCTTTCCATTTGAATGAAGATCCTGAAGCTAAAGAACAATCAATATGTATTGGATAAGTAAGAAATGATGGGTGGGAAAACTATGAATGAATGGAAAAAAGAAAGAAAGAAAGA